CTCTATTTTGCCCCGACTTTCAACTCAGGGCCAACCACAGAGAGCCAAACATACTTCATAAGCAAATCACATAAGATACCCCCTACTGGTTAGCCTGCTTCCAGCTTCTCTATGCCAGCCTCCTCCAATCTGGAGCACACCTGATTCTTTACCCTTTGTTCATTATAAAGCTTGTCCACTCCCCTGCCTGCCCCTGAGTCTCTGCCAAATGCAGGTGACAGGTGATAATGGCTGATGCCCTTGCTCTAGCAAGCTCTGAATAAAAAGCCTCATTTGTTCTTATTTCAGTAGTCTTTATTTCCACAGACCTCAGGACTTGCATCATGTTCAGTGGATGCTCTCACCCTGAACTTGGTGTATTCCAGTGATCTCATTTCCATCTCTGCACTCTGAAGTCCTCAAGGTCAGAGACCCTGTCTAAATGTAACATCTGGCACAGTGCTTGCCACATAACAAGTCTCCACTACTTTTTGTGGAATAACAATGCTTGAAATAGGGACTGTACTGGAACTTTTTTTTTTTTAAAGGTTGCATCTATTTACTTGAGAGAGAGGAAAGAAGAGAGAGCACAGAGGGAGAGGGAGACTCCCTGCTGACCAGGGAGCCTCATGCAGGGCTCAATCCCAGGACCCTTAACTTGCGGCAGACGCTTAACCAGACTCAGCCACCCAGGCGCCCCTGTACTGGAACTTTTAGAACACAGTTCTATCCTCCCCTTTTTTCTATAACCTACTGAAACACTTTTAACACTCTTTTGTAATAAGCCAGGCTCTTCCTATTAATGTAGGGTTTTCTTGTGTTTTTTTCCTCCTTGTGTTCCCAGACCCAGCATTTAGGAGGCATGTCAGAAATACTTATTGAATGGCTAGGGCCACTGAAACCAAACATTAAATACCAAGTTTTTCACAATATCAATTATCACAAAACTCGAGTTCAGGAGATAAAAATAATCTTTCCCCTAGAATCTGCTGAATACAAATCTCACCTCTCCTTACTTCTGAGTAAAACCTGGACTCTCCTTCTATGTATCCCGTCCCTCACCTGCAACTCTGCCAAGCAAAAGCCTCTCCTTCTGTCCAAAAGGCACAAAGACAATCCGAGTAATTGTCACTCTTCCCCTCCCCGCCCCCATCACCTCTCTTCTAGCGCCCATTCACTCCACTTATGCCATCCCTTCCCGCCCTCCTTTCGGAACTAACTGAAACTTTCTGAGAGCCTCCTGCCACGATGGGTAAAATCTAGGGAGACATAGTTGGTCTCGGTGAGGAGACCTTCCACTAGGAAGGGAGACATAGTGGTTTCGGTCCGCAATCCACGTTTCTGCTTCTACACCTCTTCCACACAGTACCCAGTCCCTGTGCTTCCGCTAGAGTTCTGATGGTGCTGACAACCCCTACAACTCAACCGCTAGGTGCTCTATTTTCCCCACTCTACAGACTTTAGTTAAAATCCTTGAAATCAGAGGAATAAGAAATCTGCTCCTGAGAGGACAGAGCAGGTGTGAGAGTTATTCTTCCATGTTCTGTTAACTTTTATATCACTTGAATCTTTTGGTATCTGTAATTTAAAAGTAATAATAAAATTTTTAAAGAGTAAGGATTCTCACCCTCCTGGCCTTCTCCCATTCTTACCCTAACCACTTTCAACTGTGGGTTAACACAGCATCCATTTCATTGGTTTTGACCCTCGGCTACTGGATACTGCGGGAGAAAGTCCGGAGGTGAAGCAAGCTAGCCCGGATCTCCAGTGTGGCTCTAAATTCCCAAAACAGCTGTTACAAACCTTCCCCTTCCTCCTTTGTATTTCAAAAGACCTCACCTTCGGCGCATTTTCTCTGGATCTATTTTTCTCTCCCGATCCTGGCCCCAGTCAGCTTGAAGTGCTGGCGCTGGCGAGCTCTCTCGCCCTCCTGATGTTTCCTCTCAACTCCTCATACACAAATCCTCACATTATAGCTCCCTTTAATAAGTGACTCTCCTCCCTGACCTCCTCTTTCTCATTCCTTCAGGACTAACCTTCTTAAGGGCAGACCACCCTCGTCGCTTCTACTTCCTCAGTTCTCATGCCGGTCTCAGCCCCTTTAGACTGGCGGTCACTCTACACAAATTGCTCTCCGGGAGGTGATCATGACCGCCAATTTGATCGACAACTCCGAAGGCCTCTTCTCATTCTCCTCCTTCAAGTCAGCATAAGCCACTCTTATGGACGATTCGCTTCTACCTGAAGCTTATTTTTTCCTCCTGTTATATTTGATCTTTCATTGACTGGCTTCTCTTTGTGCTCTTGCCCCTTCAACACAAGACTTTCTCTACGGTTCCACTGTGATTGCTATCTTTTCTCATGCCATGTGATAGCCCTTGTTAACCTTCTCTGACCTTCACACATGAGGAAAGCTCCCAAATCTGTGCCTCCCAGCCCAGCCTGCATTTGTGGAGAGCCAGGCCTATGTCCTAACTATGCTGTCCCCCGACCTGGGGTGCCACACAGGTACCCCCAGGTCAACATGCCTCACATCTGATCACCTTCCCCCACAGAACCTGCTCATCTCCTGGCTGACCTTCCCTACCAGCAGCTGGGCTGGGCTCCTCTAGTGAGGGTGCAGGGCCTGAGCCATCTTCAGCTTCCGCCCCACCCCTCATTCCCAGCCCCGAGTCTGCACAGCTAGTCACCCAGGAGCCGGACCCCATGATGCCCTTGTACCCCTCCTCCTTTCCATTCCCACTACTGTTTCCAGGTTCTAGCACTTTTATCAACAACAGCAACAGCGTTTTTCTCTTTCCTTTTCTACCCATCACGATGGGTGCAGACCCACACGCAGGCCATGGTGCCCAGCCCTCCTCTCGTGTCTCTAGAGCCTCCGCATCCCATTCCCCTCCTGTATTCTGGACCCACTGTACTGATCAGATGTTGACTTCGAGGAAACGTGCGGGACACCATCTCTGCCCCAGCTTATGCCTAACATTTCACACTTCTGTTATCCTGTATGGGTTAGAAAGGTCAATTCAAATTAAGGATACATATTTATGTGTATATGTACATATATACACAGACACACACATATAATTTTTTAAGATTTTACTTATGAGAGAAGTGGGGGAAAGAGAGAGGGAGACGCAGAACAATCAGGGGGGAAGCACAGAAGGAGAGTGAGAAGCAGACTCCCCACTGAGAGGGGAGCCCAACGTGGGGCTTGATCCCAGGACCCCAAGATCAGGACCTGAGCTGAAGGCAGACGCTTAACTGAGCCACCCAGGCGCCCCCCCCACATATTTTCATGTCACACACACACACACACACACACACGAGTAAATATATTCTTGTAGATACACATAGCAATCTATTACTCAACTAGTATTTTCAGAGCATCTGGTGTGGAAGTAGGGTTTTACAAACTAATTTAAGTTATAAAAACAAAAGTGCAGAGAGATGGCCTCTGAGAACTTGAAGATTCTCTCCGAAACCCTTTTGTATCCTGGTATGGACTGAATTGTGTCCATAACCCCCACCACACCCCTCAGCCAATTCTGACATTGAAGCCTTAACCTACCATATGGGATATTTGAATAGGACCTTTAAAGAGGTAATTAAGGTGAAATGAGGTCATAAGCGTGGGGGCCCTAAGCCATCTATAGGACGAGTGTCCTTCTAAGGAGAGGCAGAAGCCCCAGGAATGCCTGCACATAGAGAAAAGGGCCTGGGAGGGCACAGCAAGAAGGCAGCTGCAAGGCCAGGAGGGAGAGCTCAGGAGAGGCCAACCTGCCGGCCCCTCAATGGGACACTTCCAGCATCCGGGACTTCCAGAGCAGCAATTTCTGTGGTTTAAGTCCCCCAGACTGTGCTGTTTACTTAGGCATACATAACCCAAGGCCAAAAGAACTGGCACTTCTGTCAAGTGAAAGAGAAAACTGAGGTACAGTTATGTAAGATATTTAAATATGTGACACAGAGGAAACATAAAGCAGGAAGGATTTAGACTCAATATAAGAACTGTCATGATTGAACGGGGTTGCTGAAACTGGTTGCAGGGAACGATCCAAAGGAAAAACAGACCGTGGAGAGGCACATTTGGAAGCAGGTTCAAAGGATGCGTGTAGAAAGGTTGGATCTTAATGGATTACAGCCTTTTCTACACTCTGTTCCAAAGAAGAGTAAAGGTAAAATGGGTTTTATGGTAAAATAAGGTTTGAAAACACAAAGTGTTATACTTTGCTCTACTGCAGAATTTCTTGGAAGCTTTTACGAACTCCACAAAGCTCCAACAGGGAGATAGAGCAATATTGGATGACAGAACCCGTCACCTGTGAGACACCACGGGTGATGCTTCTTCCTAGGGGCCTATTTTCAAAGGAGATGGATCAAAAGAAGCTTGGCTACTTTCAGGGACATCCCCCTAATGATGTCAGCCAGCTCTTGGGGCAGTACTGGGGTACAGTTACGGAGGTCTGACACAGAGAGGACCACAAAGTGGTGGGTGATAAGTGTGTGCCCTTGAGCCTTGTTAACCGTGTGATCTTAAGCAAGTTCCTCAGCCTCTAGTCTGGAGTTCAGTTTCCTCATCTATAAAACACACTGTGAGTACTCATCACCATGGGGATTTCTGCAGATGATACGGTAAGAACTAGGCTACAGGCTTTCCACGGGAAGTATTCAGTACAGATGAAATATTCTACAGGTTATTGGGTGCCATAAAGTGGCTTTCCCCAGTGTTAACAACTTTGGGGAGGTGCTGGGGCACAGTACATGCACTCATGCAAATCACCATCTTCTGCAGGCCAGAGGCTGGTGCCACAGGAAGAAATCCATCTGTGCTCTGCCTGATTTCATGTCAGGGCAGCGCACCTATGGGCAGAAGAGCAGGTGGGTGTTCATCCCCTCCCTACCCTGTTCCTTTGAAGTGGTCCCATGAGGCCAACTCAGAGAGCCCTATGTCGCCACCTTCACTGGGAGCTCAGTTATTCACAGTGTTGAGAGCCTTGACCGCCAAATAAAGACGACAACAGAAAATAACAAAGAGCTTTATTTTCATGTCACTGTCCTACTTTCTTCTAGTTGTTGCTAACAACCTGACAGTGTGTCTCTACCCCCTCAATTCCTACACTGTTCAACATACCAACAGTCACAAATATATCACCTTATGGAGGAGATAAGTAGCTTTTTTCTAAAGCCCACGGGCAACAGCAGGGAGGTGGCCAATTCTCTGGGCCCTCTCCTCCTCCCACCCTTCTCCTGGGGTCTCCAACCCACGGGAAAGGATCCAGGCAGGAGGCTGACCTCTCACGCACTACTCCACCCTCACCCCTGGATCCCTCCAGGGGAACAAAGAAAGAGAATTCCGTTGTCCTGCTTCTCAAATGGAGGGCCTTACAACCAACCAAGGTTTCAAACGCAAAACCAAACACCTGCAAAGCAATGCTGCGGCACAGCTGTCTTCCAGGTGCTTTCATTTTCACTGCCGCACTGCGTAAGTGTTCCCCTCTATCGTCCTCACGACTTTTCCTCATCTTTCACAATGGCAGAATTGGATGGGAAGAATGAACCAAAATGAAAGAAGGAAAAAAAAAAAAAACCTAACCCTGTAAGAACCGCCTTCAACCTAGCCAGTGAGGTGGGGCTGGCAACACTCCTGACGTCCACCCCCCTGCCCCACCCCGCCCTCTAGCTCCTGTGGCCAGGCCCAAACACTGACAGCACCCCCTTTCTGGACATTCAGGAATCAGGGCCCCTAAAGGGCCAGGGTCTGTGAAGACAGGAGGGAGCCCCCTAGGAGAGCTGGACCTGTGCCTGCTCGTCGGCGGGCAGCCTGGGCTGGCACTGTGGGCACCACCACGTGAGCCTCTGGAAGCCACCCGGGGGCCCAAAGGCCTCTCTCCTGACCCGGTGCCCCCCAGGGCACTGCTCCTTCTGGTAGATGTGCGTGTGCTGCTGCCTGCCCTGGAACTTGCCCTGAAGCCAGTCCGCACTGAACTGCACCACGTGATCCACGAGGGCCTCGAGGCGCTGAGGGCTGAGGAGCGAGCCCCGAGAGAGGGGATGGATCCCGGCTCTGTACAAGGCTTCATTCTTAATGATGTTCCCTGGGGGGAGGCACAGAGAGGACAAGGGAAGGGGAAAGAACACACCGGTCAGGAGCCCCATCCACAAAACTAGCAAAGCAAACAGAAGCTGGCATGATGGCGGCAGGAGGGCTCCAGAGGATGACCTGGTGCCAGCCCTGCTCTGGCCTGAGGGCTCTCGGGCAAGTCACCGACTCTGAGCCACTTCCCTGTCTGCCAACTGGGTTTGCTCACACTTACCTTTAAGGCTGTTGTGGAGACCAAAGGAAATAAAACTCATGTGTGGTCCATGTCACAGCAAACAGGTTATCAAAACAGCCTATGGAAGCTTACTGCCTGCAATGGAGCCCTGCTCAACCAGATCCTGGTTGGTCCAGATCAACCAGACTATGTGACCCTGGCAGGTTCCTTAGCTCCACATTCCTCATCTGTAAAATGGGGATCACTTATCTGGCTTTTGTGAGCAGTAAATGAGAATTCTCTCTCTCTCACTCACACACACATACACACCGAGCACTGTGGCTGGTACGGACAGAGTACTCAAAAAATATTAGCCATCTAAAATTAAAATGTCAAGCATAATGCCTGAGATATAAAGCGTTTAGGAAGTATTATTTCATTATTTTTCTACTCCTGCCTCATTCTTGGTGAAGTCAGCCTTGACCCCTCCTTCCGGAATCAATAACTCTCTTCAGAATGTCCCAACAGTGCACTTCCTTTAACCTCTACCAGGCATTTGTCACAATCTATCTGAAGTTGCAGTGAACTGCGCTCATGCTTGCCAGGCCATTAATAATCTCCTGAAGGAGAGGCGTGGAACTGGTCGAAGGCAAGCATTCAGCATGTGTGGGATGAATGGATGAATGGAATCACTGCTGCCTGCAAGGGCTTCATAATCACACCCCTAGTCACACAGAAACGTTTCTCTACAATTCCGTGGCAAACTACCTGGATTCCGAGCTCAGCCGCACCACTTACCAGAAATATGGCCTTTGCTTTGGCTTCTTCGCGTGAGTAAAGGGAAAACTAACAAGAAGGATGAAACCACGTGACTAGCACGTTAGAGTCATGCGATAGATGTCAGCTGTTATTACTATTGTTGGTAACAATGACGTGTCCGTAGAGCATGAGCTCCTGCTGTAAATACCCCAAAGGCTCCTTCTGGACGTCTCTTTCTCCCGCAGAGCACAGGGGCTCCCACAGGGTCGATGTGAAAATGCCAGCCGCTGTCTGGGGAGCCCCCGGGGCCTCCTCCCCACTCTTGAGGGGAGCTGTGCCTGCAGCAGGCACCTTCGGGCCTTGGGTATGAGGTGATTTTGTCATCAGCTCACTCAATTGCCTGAGCAGCCAGTCACAGGAGCACTTAGGCCTCTGCTGAAGTAGTAAGGGCAGTCAGTTCTTAGAGTTCCGCTAGTTGGCTGTTCTGATTTTCAGATCGCTCAGCTCGTTTCCCTACCTGAAACGCTCACGGTTTCATTGCTCAGGACACTTGAACAGAGGGAGGGAACCTGCTTCTTCACTGTGTCTTTTAAGATCCTGATGGAGGCCTGAGGCACCTGTGCTTTGCCAGCAGGCAGCTCCATCTGCCCGAGAAAAGCCCCATTAGCAAATGCACTGCTCTCCCTTAGCAAATTGCAGCTTCCGGTTCCCAGCACATACTGATTGAGTAATCGAGTACCTCCTGTGTGCCAGGCACTGCACCAGGCAGTGGAGGAGTCAAGGAGAAAGAAGACATGGCTCCCGCCCTTTAGGAAGTTATGCTGTGATGTGGCCACAGGCGGACTCCAGTTGATAATATAATTAGGATGTGAATTCTGAAGCCAGGAGAGAAGTTAGAGATTGCCTAATCTAACTCCCTCAGTTTACTTATTTATTTTTCTTTAAAGATTTTACTTATTTATTTGAGACAGAGAGGGGGAGGGGGAGAAAGAGAGAGAGCGCATGAGTGGTGGAGAGGGGAGATGGAGAGGGAGAAGCAGACTCCCTACTGAGTAGGGAGCCCAACGTGGGGCTCAATCCTAGGACCCTAAGATCATGACCTGAGCCTAAGGCAGATGCTTAACCAACTGAGCCACCCAGGCATCTCAAAGGAAGTGAAGCTAAAGAGATTAAGTGATTGCCTCAAGCACAGCTGAGGTGGGTCCCATCCCTTTCCCATCAATCATACCTAAGCCTGAGAAGTATCTTTGGTCCAACAGTGTATAGCAGACAGGCTGCTCCTGGCCCAGAGCTTCCAAGGCTTGTCCTCGATCGAACTTTTCCGACAAGATGTCAGAGGTGGGTCTGACCACTGGGGAAGAGCTCCAAGACATCTGACAATTATAAAATGCCAGGAAGCCGCCACCACCAAAGTACAGGACCAACCTGGGAAGAAAGAAAAGATCCTAAGCTCATGCAGCTCAGGGCACACATACATACAGCTTCCACTCGAGACTCAAGTCACATGTCCACAGCGCTCCCACTCCACAGTCAAGATTCACTCAGGGAAGCTAAGATCCCAAAAGAGAAAAGGGATGGCTCTGCCAGAACCATAAAAATCTCAGGGCTAAATGCACTAATTAAAAGAAAACATATATATCGCTCCATCTTTCTGATCACAGCCATACATGTTCACCGAAGACAATGTGATGTAAGGAAGTCTCAAAGCTCAGGAGGTGTGGCTACCTGCATAAAAGCAGAGTTTGTTAGGAAGGACAGAGAAATGGATGCTAAAGAGGCACCACTCCCAGTCCAGGTTAAGATTTACCAAGAAATACATACCCACCCATACGCCCATGGGCTTCCTGCATTCCAAGGACACAGGAGAAACTTCCTGAACTTTGATAAAGAAATAATGGGTTACTGTGTAAGGGCAGAAGATCAGACTGCAACTGGACTCCGTATCTGAAGGGGAATATCCGTATATCTGACCTAGATGGTATTCTGATGTGGAAGTACAAGGACAACTTTATTATTATTTTTTTTAATTTATTTGAGAGAGCGAGCAAGCATGTGCTTGGGGGGAGGGGGAGAGGGAGAGGGACAAGCAGATTCTGTGCAGAGCACGGAGCCTGAGGCGGAGCTCCATCCCACAAGAGATCACGACCTGAGTCAAAACCAAGAGTCAAACGCTCAACCGACTGAACCACCCAGGTGCCCCTGACAGGACAACTGTAGAGGAAAGGGCCTCAGAGACACATCTACCATAGTATCTGAGGTAATTACTCAAGGAAAAATAAATGCCCAACGGAAATGCAATCAGCAGGGACCTCAAGCCAAGGGGAGAGGAAAAGGGTAGGACATGAGGGGCGGCCCTGGGTTGCATAATATTTATTGTGAGAGATCTAGAGGACTGGATGATAGCACAGCTGAGAACTGTAACGTGTTAGGAAGGAATTCTTGAATCAGAAGATACCCGTGTTGACCCCTGGAAGCGAGGGGTGCTGTGTGATCACTAAGGAGCTGAGGCACTTGGCGCTCCTAAAATGCCGGATTATCTCAGTACTGATCAGCGGACAACAGAGCATGAGGAGGACGAGAAGCCCATCTGAGCTCTGGATGACGGGGATATCGCCCTGCTGAAACGTATGGTCAGAGCACTGACTCGAGGCAGATGAAGCAGCTTGAAGATGACCTGTGCCAACCTCTTAAGAACCTTCATGAGCTCACTGGTATGAAAGAATCTGCTACTGGCCTGGCCCCACCGGCGCTCTGGGATTTGGCTGCAGAAAAGCAAACACTGCAGAGTGAACAGCCTTTGAGGGTTGCTAGGTATACAAAGATAATCAGTGTGGACTCGGAGGACCCAAAGCACATTATCAACGTGAAGCAGTTTGCCCCGTTTGTGGGGGACCTTAGTGAACAGGTAGCACCTGTGGACTCTGAAGAAGGAATGAGAGTCGGCATGGACAGAACTAAGTATCAAATTCACATTCTGCTGCCTCTTAAGACTGATCCAACAGTCAACCATGATGCAGGTGGAAGAAAAACCTAATGTCACATACATCGATGTGGCTGGCTCTAAGGAACAGATTCAGAAACTTTGAGTAGTAGTTGAAACCCCATTACTTCATCCAGAGAGGTTTGTTAACCTTGACATTGAGCCTACCAAGGGTGTGCTGCTCTTTGGTCCACAGGTACAGGCAAGACACTGTGCCTGGGCAGTTGCTAACAGGACTGATGCTTGCTTTTCGAGTTACTGGATCTGAACTTGTACAGAAGAATGTCGGTGAGGGGGCTCGAATGGTTCATGAACTCTTTGAAATGGCCAGAACAAAAAAAGCCTGCCTTATCTTCTTCAATGAAATTGATGCTATTGGAGGGGCTCATTCTGAGGATGCTGCTGAAGGAGACAATGAAGTGCAGAGAAAGATGCTGGAATTGATCAATCAACTGGACAGTTTTAATCCTCAAGGTAACATTAAAGGGCTCATGGCCACCACAAGACCTGACACTTTGGATCCAGCACTGATGAGGCCAGGGAGACTGGACAGAAAGATTACGTTTAGCTTACGTGATCTAGAGGGTCGGACTCACATTTTTCAGATTCGTGCTCATTCGATGAGCGTTGAAAGAGATGTCAGATTTGAGTGGTTAGTGTGACTGTGCCCAAATCGCTCTGGTGCTGAGATGAGAAGCATCTGCACAGAAGCTGGTATGCTTGCCATAAGAGCACGGCGAAAAATCCCCACCGAGGAGGATTCCTTGAAGGCTGTATATAAGGTCATTAAGTCTCACGCCAAATCCAGTACTACTCCCTGCCATACGACATACAGCGGAGCCCTGAAGGCTTTCATGAAAACCCTGCTTTTCAGTGGAATCCTAACCTTATTAAATAGACTTGTTAATAACCATTACACACACAAAAATAAAGGGTTTCAAAATTGAATAAAAACAAATAAGATAAACATGTTACTGTGTTTTTAATGTTAATTAACTTAATTACACATAATATTATATAGTCAACAATCTGGAACTAAACTTCTAAACTATCTCAGCAAACGCAGGAGATAGGGTGGGCAAGACAAAAGAAGTGAGGAAGTAGAAATATTTCAAAGGCCTCCTCTCAGAAGGATGAAGGAAAGGAGCAAAAAACCAGTTTCAATAAGAAGGGGGACATGTTATTAAACATTTGGTTGTTATTAACGAATAAAAAATACGGGTCTAATTTAAAGGAAACATTATTACCAACAAAAACAAGATGAATAGCAGTACTTGCAATTTATACTCAACAGGAGTTAAGAAAGCGGGGAGGGGAAAGGGGGGGAAAAACTTGAGAAATCCAACAGAAGAAACAAGGTATAATAAAATGGCAAATGGAAGAAAATCCAAATACCACAGTTACCTCATTTCAAAACAAAGAGTTTTGGTTTGAGTTTAAAAAGATACAAAAGCCAGACACTTGCAGTTTGTAAGAAATATACCTAAAATAGGTGAAAAAGCACACCTATAAAGCACACACTAAGTGGAAAAAGACCAAGTGGGCCAGCCAAACACAGAGTGGCATTATTACCATCAAGAAAAGCAGAATTCAAGACCAAAGGCAAATAGAGGATCTGTTTTTATTATTTTTTTTTTTTTGAGAGTGAGGGAGGTGGATGGTAGGAGCAGAGGGAGAGGGAGAGAGAATCTTAAGCAAACTCCATGTTCAGCGTGGAGCCTGACACAGGGCTCGAACTCACAACCCTGAGATCATGACCTGAGCCCAAATCAAGAGTCGGATGCTTAACTGACTGAGCTACCCAGGCGCCCCGAGGGTATGTTATTTAATAAAGCTGCAAAGAAGTCAGAGACCTTGACGCTTTGGATAACAGGGCTGCAAACATATAAACACACTAGAAAGACAAGGAGAAACCTCATAAACCACAATCACTCTAGAGGATTTTAATGCTCTCCTTCCCACGTTTGGCATATTAAGTAAACAAAACACAAGCTAGGATAGAGAGTTTGAATTATCAAAGCAATAACCTGTTCTTAATAGTTACATAAGATTTTACTTTTTATGAACATACTACCTTCATTTATGTACATAAAATGTAAGAAAAGATCAATGATGTGTTTGACTGCAAATTTTAATAGATGCCCAAAGGAGAAAATTTACAGGCTGATATCCTGATCACAATCCAATAAAAATAATGACAACAAAACAAAATGATGACCCCACTCAAATATTTGGAAAATTAGAATATACTCTTCCCATATAGAGTATATAAAACTGATATTATTTATTTGAAAGACCAACAAAGTCGATAAACTCTGGTAAGCCTAAGTAAAAAAGGGGTGTAGGTGACAAAGGAAAATAAAGAACATGAAGAAGAAAAAGGCAGACATAACTTCACAAGAGATTTAAAAAATAAGAGAATGATACATGTTAACTCTGTGACAATAAATTTGAAAACCCAGTTAGGGATGAGGCTTGTTGGTGAAGAGCATTTCAAATGGCCCTAGCTGGTGACTAATTTAGCAATCAGCCCATGAACCAGCTTCAGGCCATGAAAGGTTTGCTGAGAGTTTCTGAGAAAGCTCTCCTTGCTCATCTGAACTTCCAGAAATGACCCTCTCTTCCCCTCTTCTCTCTTCCTGTGTGGACCTAAGGCTTGGAACTGCAAGAGCCTCTTGCTGCTGGTCTAAGGACGAAACCAACATGTGGGAAAAGGCACAGAGAGAAGAATCACAAGAACATGAAGCCCAAAGCTGGGAACTGAGTCAACACCATAGCCCATCCTCGCTCGAAACTTCCAATTATGTGAGCCAAAAAATCTCCTCCTCACTTAATCCAGTCTCAGTTATCTTTACCTCCAAAGCGTCTTACTAGCCCTACATCATACCGTAAACACACACTACAGTTCTGAACATAAAAATATATCATTAGGAAACTTTAGAAATGGAAGAGTAGTGGGGTTTTAGGTAGAAGGGGCCTTCTTTAGCAAGAGGGGAAACTCAAGAGCTATCGCGGACAATACCCACCACTGACTACATAAAAATTTAAAATCCCAGGGGGTGGGAAGATGGGCTAAATAGATACAGAAGATTAAGAGGTATACACTTCCAGTTATAAACTAAGTCACAGGGATGAAAAGTACAGCATAGGGAATATGGTCAATAATACTGTAATAACATTCTTTGGTGATAGATGATGACTACATTTATCGTGAGCACTGAGTAATGTCTAGAATTGTTGAATCATTATGTTCTACACCTGAAACTGATATAACATTGATGTCACCTATACTGATATAAACATTTTTAAAAATAAATAGAAATTTAAAAAAATTTTTTGAGGTTTATTTTAGAGAGCAGGAGCTCATGAGTGGGGCGAGGAGTCTCAAGCTGACTCCCTGCTGGAAAGTGGAGCCCGACGCGACGAGGGCCTCCATCTCACCATCCATGAGATCGTGACCTAAGCCGAAACCAAGAGCTGGACAGTTAACCGACTAAGCCACCCAGGCGCCCCTAAAAAATGTTTAGATCGTGAACGCCAAAAGGCACAAATACTGTCAAAGGACACAGGTGGACTTGAAACAACACTGGCATCACACATCACAAAGATTAACACGCAATGTACAAAAGCCTCTACAATTTGATACAAAGTATACAAACAACTCAAAACTAGTTAAGAATTCAGCTAAATGAGCACTTAGGCAAGGCCGCAAGGGTGTTCATTCTCAGTGACCAGCAATGACTCCTCTGGGAATCTACACTGAGGTAATAATCCTGAGCGTGGACAGAGTTCCACACACCAAGATAGTCTTCTCACCAATAGCAGATGAAAACTAAGACAATTCTGTCCCTAAATTCAGAGTGCACTAGTCAAGCCATAAAATGTCCTTCAGAGCCATCCCCCTCTCAAGAGCCATGCTTGTTGGGAAAGTTCTTCCCTTTTACTGAGCTGTCCCAGTATGTTTCCACCCCTCTGTGGATGCAGACCACAGTCTACTTCCTATCGTGGGTACTCTCTCCTAGGAAGTGGGCTGCCGGAGAGCAGTGGTTACCACCTGAGTGAGCCCACAGAGCCCAACCCGAAGCCTGCACACGGGGGCCGTGTGAAACGCCACAGACCCTGCAGAGCCACAGCCCACGGCCCGCCCAACCATGCCGTTACCTGGGAGTGGGGTCCCTCCAGTCGCCCCTCTTGTTTGCTTTCTTCGCTCTGGAGAACTCGTTCACCCAAATGCTGCCAAACAAACCAAAGCCGACCTGCAGCCACCTCTCAGGACCTCCTGCAGGCGTGTCCCCCCACAAATGCTCCACACCACTGTCTCCACGGGGAGCCACAAGCTCCGGGGACGGAGAGGACTGCTGCGAGATTTTCTGGCTGCTGGGCCCTGAGGCCTGCTTTGGGTCCTGAGCCTCTCCCTTCCTCTCTCCTTTTTCTAGAGACTCTGGCAGTGAGATGTTGCCAAGGGACCCGAGTTCTTCATCTGGATCAAATCTAAGGAATAATTTCTTTCCATGGACCTAGAAAAAAAATGAACATGATCTAAGCCCATTGCTATGGACTTGTCTGTGCCCCTCTCCCCCCCACCCCAAATGTGTATGTTGAAACTTAACCCACAATGTGATGGTATCTGGAGGTGGCGCCTCTGGGAGGAAATTAGGTCATGAGGGCGAAGTCCTCCTACATGGGATTAGTGTCCTTATGAAAGAGGTCCCAGAGAGCTCCCTTGCCCCTTGCACCATGTGAGGACAGCAAGAACACGGCTGTCCATGAACCAGGAAGCAGGCTCTCACCAGACGCCGAGTCTGGCAGGCTGTCTGATCTTGGATTTCCAGCCTCTGGAACTGTGAGAAATAAATTTCTGTTGGTTATAAGCCACCTAGTCTGTGGTGGTCTGCTATAGTAGTGTGAATGGTCTAAGACGGACTTAGGGAATGCTAGAAGTATATGCAGATGTTTATCCTAATGCAAACTTATCCCCTCTTGTCTCTTCGAGGAAGCTTCCCGAAGCCGAGTATTCTGGACCTGCTTTTGCTCTTTGCTCCAGTGGTGTGGGCAGTTAGCACATGGTTTTCAAAGTGATTGAAAGCAAGAAGAATTGGATTAGCAGTAACATAGATCCATGCTAGACAGCAGGACCACCCTAGAATAACTGAGGGGAAATGCTCCCAATGTTTTCATGGATTAGCTGAGATATAAATACAAATCGTCATTCTGTATTTAATTCATAATACCTTTTCTTTGTTAGAAATAATTAGCTTGTACGCACACACATGCACATGCACCATCCACAAACTGACAGCAGCTAAAGTACTGCATTTTATATACTGTAAATACACAATGTATTTTACACACTGTAAAATTTGGTACCTCTCACTCACTGAAATTGGATTTGGTAGAAGAAATGGCCACAAGAGAACTCACAATAAAAAAATGACTATCAATAGAAATCGAATATTGACATAAAAACTGATCAATGGATCAAACCATAAAATGCACATAAAACGTACAAAGGAAAAGAATTCACCTAAACCCAGTGAAAACCATTTCAGGAAAAGAAGATGAGAAAAGGAAATGCACGTAAAAGAATGTTCCACGTGATTTGTATTCTGTTTTCATACTGCTAGCCCTACTATGTAATGCGCATATCCAGATTCCAGGATGAGCCTGTTCTGCATGATCTGAAATTCAGGCAGCCTTTCAAAACCAAAACACCTGGCATCAATAATGGAAATGCCTGTGTTACTTTTTTGGCCTCCAAAAGTACATACTTAGAGATCATAGCTCTGATATGATCTCCAATTTGTCAATCAGTATAAAAATTTTAACTGTAGCAGTCCTTTGAAATCCTCTCCCTAAAAGAAGGCATTACCTTTCTAAATAATTCCAGAATAACTCATCTGCAAATGTGAGCACAGCAGTTTGCTGCCACATATTAGAAATGGCTTAACTGAGCTACATATAAAACTGAGCAAGAATTAAGTGGGCATAATAGAACTTGCTCCAGAAAATACCTTCCCGATGCACATTCACTAATGTAGGTATAATGCTGATGAAAATATCTGCCAAATGCCCCTCAGGGTCAAAACATTTACCAGGTCAAAAATGCCTACCTCAGGACATCTTTCTGTCCTCCCCAACTATGGCAATTTCTACTGTCCCTCTTTTAAATTCCTGGGACATCGTTTTTACTTCAGTTAACTGACCATTAATTGAGCTTTTACAATGTGCCAGGCAGTGTGCTAGGCTCTGAGGGGCATAGAGATGAGGAAGGCTCCACTCGTTCCCTCTGGAAACTCAGTATTTGAAGAGAAGGAAATTCTGACACACACTACAACATGGATGAACCTTGAAAACATTGTATTCGGTAAAAGAAGTCACAAAAGAACACACGTTGCATGATTCCATGTATGTGAAATGTCCAAAAAAAGGGCAAATCTAGAGAAACAGAAAATAGGTTGGTGGTTGCTTAGAGCTGGGGGCAGAAGGCAGGGGTGAAATGGGGAGTGACTGCTAATGGGAACAAGGTTTCTTTCTGGAGAGATGAAAATGTTCTAAAACCAACTGTGGTGATGGTTGTACAACTTTGTGTGAAGACACTAAAAGCCACTGAATTGCACATTTTAAGTGGGTGAATTGTATGTTATGCGAATTATATTTCAGTAAAGCTGTTATATATTTTTTAAAAATTGGAGGATTGGTTAAAAGTCTAAGTATGTAGGGGGGTTGGATTAGAGCTCCCACACCACCCAAACTAAGATCGAACAGAAACATTAACAGCCATGTAAGGACTCAATACTTATCCCCCATGCACTCTTTCTCAGGCAGCTCCTGGAATGTGTGCTTTGCAAAATGAGAGGGTATAACAAAGGAGAAGATAATGGACCAGGTGTAAGGAGACTACTGACTACCTCCCAATATCCCTCTCCCCTCTTCCCTACTAACAAATCTATCCATTTAAAGGGACCTCAGTAACCTCAGCTACTGATTTGGGGGGGACCTCAATGTCCTCAGCTAAAAATCTCTGTCTCCCAGACTCCCTTAGAGATGGGGCAGCCAGTGGAATATACGCGGGAATAGTCAAATGTAGTTTCCAGAAAAGCTCTTTGAAACAGGTGAACCAGCTTCCAGGTCCCTTCTGCCCTATCTCCCTTCCTTCCTCTTTCTTCCTGCCTAGAACCTAATGGCTGGAATCTCAGCTGCCATGTTATCACCATGAGGATGAGGGTCACATCCCAGAGAGGGAAAAGCCGAAGGAGCTTGGTGCCCAGTGATCTCGTGTTGCTCCCATACCACTCTGGACTTCCCATTAAGTCAAGGGAGAAAAAAATAAACCCACAAACTCCAGACATGAATAAGCTGTTCTTCTGAATCCGTTATGAGTAGTCAAACACAATTCCACTACAGAAACTGGAGAACCAACAAGGAAAGACAAGGAAGGAACTTGCCAGAAAAACAGGTGGCACAGAGTGGAGCCAATCTCTTCCCTGCTTCATTAGCCCACTGTGCTCATTCTATCTCCATTTGCCTGTCTGTAACTGCCTCACAAACCTGAAATATGCTTTCTTTTCCTTTTGGTCTATCTAAATCCTCCATCCTTCAAGATCCAACTCAGAACCCACCTCCTTCATGAAGTCTTTTTTTTTTTTTTAAGATTTTATGTATTCATTTGAGAGAGAGAGAGCAGGAGTGGAGGGGAGGGGCAAAGGAAGAGGGGAAGCAGACTCCCTGCTGAGCAGGGAGCCCACTTGGGGCTTGATCCCAGGACCCTGGGATCATGATCTGAGCTGAAGGCAGACGCTTAACTGACTCAGCCACCAAGGTACCCCCATGAAGTCTTTTACTCCAGGCTACAAGGACCTCTTCTCTGCTGAGGCCTTCAAATAGGCCTTAACTGTATGCTCCCCTCCTTCCCCCTTCACTGTTACCTAACGGTTTTCCCCTGTTGTAGATACACGTCTTACTTTCCAAATTCAACTCTCAGATCCTTAGCAGGTAGAGGTGCAAAGAAGGGAGCACAATGATGAGAACTTAGCCCCCACATGCCAGGCAGTTCCCCAAAGCTGTGTCCCTCAGGGTTCTTGGGCTCCCACACCAATTTCTGCCTTGGTTTACTAGGAAACCAGCTCCCAGTTCCATCTCAACGCTCCCTGTCCACACAGTCTTCTGTCCACTCAGCCAGTCCGTAAATATTCTCTGTGAGCCAGCTCTGGGACAGGCTCGGGCTAAGTGCTGGGGTTCCAGAGATGAACGGATCTAATCCTGCCCCTGCAAACCTTGCAGTAGTCTGGTCAAAGAGTCCAAAAGCTCTCACATTAGGAGCACAGAGCCGGAGGTCAGGTGGCCTGGACTCCAGCTAGCCATGTCAACTTGGGTTGAGTGTTCTCCCTCTCTGAGCCCCCACCTCCAAATGTAGAAAATGTAAGTGAAGGTCTAGAAGACCTCTTTCAGTTCTAACCAAGAATGGTTTTATAACCCACGAGGTGTGTGTGAAGGAAAGGTGGAAAAAAGAGAATCAGCATTTACTGAGCACCTGTGCCAGGCATAAAGTCTGTTTAATACAATTTTAACTGCTAAGTCATCGATCCCCATTTTACAATTGCAGAAACTACAGCTAAGAGATTAAGTAACTTGCTTAGGAGCACACAGCTCAGCAGCAGAGTTAATTTATTTTTTCGATAGCCAATTATCATATATACACTCCCTAAGAGCCAGCACTCAGCGAAGGGCTAGGCATACAATACTGAGGAGGGCACTGGCCCTGACGTGTTGCTCCTCTCCTCCATTCAACCAGCAGGACAAGTTCAGCACTGAGGATCCACTAGGAGGAAGTATGCGGTGCCCAGCAAGCACAGAGAAGTCTCTCCCCACCCTTAGAGGAGGCAGGCCAGGTTTCTCAGAGGATGTGATGGCAAGGTCGAACCCTGAAGACAAGGAATTACCATGCTCACAAGAAAAGGATGGGAATGGGGGCAGAGTTGGGGAAAAAAGGAAGATATGCCCAAGCAGGGGAGCAGCATGTCAAAACCGTGGGCAAGAAGGATTGGTGGAGGAGCCCCCAGTAGTTCAACAGGACTGCAAGGGAGATGTGGGACAGGTGAAGAAGCGGGCCTAGAGAAGGAGGCACAAATCAGACCACAGGAGCCCTGGGAGCCCCGTGAGGCAATTCTGCCTTATGCTCAGGGCATGGATGAGGCCACCAGAATCCAGATCAGAAGGCTACGCTCTTTCCTCACGTGCTTGCTAGTTCCCAACCACAGGTGCACATCAGAGTCCACTGTACTGACCAAAATCACTCCAGATTCTGAATCAGAATCTCCAGCTTATGCGTGCACAGGGTACTTTTTCTAGTTCCATAGGCCACCGAGATGCCCAATTCTGGCTGAGAAACACCAGACCTAAAGAGGAGGAGCTGCGTGGGGGTCCTGGCGGGTTGTCTTGGGCTCAAGGAAGTGATGGCATCAAAGTCTTGAGATAAATTCTAAGGGAGTCATGGGACGTGCCGACAGAGCCAGCCCATTTACCTGAGGTATCGACAAAGCCCGATGAACTCACCTGGGTGTCTTGGAGCCACAGCGACTGAAAGCTGGCAGGGTCCAGCTTCTGACTACTGCCCCCTGTCTTGACCACCTGCTGCCCCACAAAGGGGGAGACCAAGTGGTGGAACTTCCTCACAGATGGTCCTTCCGGCATCCCTGCAGGCAGAAATGGGGAAAAGAAGCCACTGACTTCGCTAATTGTCTAGCATTTCTGGCGGGTGCCAAGTTCTAAGCTTTCCAGCAGCTATGTTTTTGCCATCGACTTGAAAAGTATATATGGCCAAAAAGGGGGTGTGGCCGAGAAGAGGGGTCAGATCAAAGACAAAGACCAGCTGTGACAGGGTGTGGGCTGGTTTCCCAGTAATGGTTTCCCTTTCCAGCCCCTCTCACCTTTCCTCATGCAGCAAACACTTATTAAGCACCAACAGTGTGCTAAGGTATCATGTCCTGGGAGCGCTCCACTTTGGTCTTGTGGCAGTCCGAATGGGAGCTGGCCCTGGGTACTTTTTGCCTGCGCTGTGGGCCCCAAACTCCCCTCCACGATTTCTCTGTCCTCCCCCGTCAGCAATACCAATCATTCCAACCCATTGCTGCTGATTTATCTCCCCACTTTTACAGGAGAAATGGTGATAGAAGAGAAGACTGTAAGGGACACAGAGACACAGATGTGGATCTGGTCTTCCCAGGACCATCCCACTAGTAGGGGCACTGTGTATGTGATGACAATGCAGAGCTCAGAACCATGACAAGTGGAGACACAGGGTCATGTTAGTTCAGAGTACGGAGAGGCCACCTCCAGCTTAACAGCAGATAATTATCCCTGGTAACCAAAAACAGCTGGGGTTGTTTTAACCCTGACGTATGGTTGTCTGTGACTCCCATCTCTCTCTGCCCCCAATCATCCAAGTTCACTCAGAGTTTATGTATAAAGCATTCAGATGTTTGAGTCTGAGTGGTCCGTACCCTGGCTTCTTGAAGCTAAGAGTCCCTCCCCACCCCTCTTACCCAGGGCACACTACTTAACCACCTGTTTCCCTCGCCTGCACACAACTCTGCAAGTTATGATGAAAACCCAAAGAACTAAGTAGGTACCTGGCAGAGTGGTAGCTACTGTAGTTCTGCAATTCTAAAAAACAATTAAAAATCTCTAAAATGAGGATGCCTCTTACTATAGCCACGCTTTCTCATAGTTGAATTAGCAGCACAGTGCTCGCTTCGGCAGCACATATACTAGAATTAGCAGCACATTCAATAATGTGTATTTTACATCTGATGGTGCTTTATACTCGCTAAAAAGTAGTGCTGTTTCCCCCAATCAGACCTTCAAGACACTGGAGAGGCCATACTAAGAAGTGCTGGGTCGCAAGACTTGCCTGACTGCAGCCCACCACCTTAACCTCAAGCAGCTCTCAGTGTCCAGGTCATCCCCAACAGAGGAAGCTTCTGGAAAAGCTTTCACCCGAAATGCACCTAATCCTTGAAATCTCTTAAACACAGGGGCACATTTTTTAAGGTATACTTATGGAGATTTAAAACGGGGCAGCAAGTTGTCTCTGCCCTAGCCTTAAGGGAGTAGAAGCGGAAAGGACACAGGATTTGATGGGGACGTCTTGCCTACCCTCAAGCCCCTCCCTCAAGAGGCTGACGGCAGTGAGGCTGGCTACTGGCTCCCTAGCGGACCACCCTCACAGCGGCAGAGGAGAGGGGCGTCAGGGCGTCCTCTTTTCTACGGCTAACCACTCACTCCCCCAGGGACTCTAAAATGGCTGCTTTTCCCCAAGTCTTTCTCGGGGGTAAGGCGAGGAGATGGGGGGCCGCGGAGACACGGCTGAGGGGCACTGGGGGAGGCCCCCGGGGTAAATGCTGGGCGGCACAGTGGTAAACCAACCAACCAAAAAACTGGGCCCGGGGTGCGGTTCCGTAAGGGTTGCTTCTTCTGTCGGTCACTGTGCTGTCTCGCCGGTAGCAGGTACCATCCTCCCCCGGCCTGCTCCCCTCTCCCCGCCCGCGCGAGCCACGGCGAGGAGCGGACGGCTGCACTCACCGGCTCCGGGCCCGCGCCCCTCGGCTCGCCCCAGCCCCGCGGCGAGGCCCGCACGCCGCCTCCAGCCCCGGGCGGAGAGGACTCAGCCGGCCGGCGTCTGCGCACGCTCTGCCCGGGGACCGACACGGAACGGTCCCGGGAGCGGGCAGCCGGGATACGTCCCGAGCTGGGGAGGGGAGGGGTGGCGCGAGGCTCCTCCTTCGGGGGGGGGCAAGGGCTCGGGGTTCCGCCGGGGCGTGGGGTAGAGCGGGACTCCGCCCCTGGGGCGGGGCGAGGGCGGGGCCCCCCTCTGGCGGCGGAGGGCGAGAGGCTCCTCCCCTGAGAGGGTCGCTGGAGGCGGGGCCGCGGCCGCACGTGGGAGTCGGGGGCGGGAGAAAGTGGGAGAAGGGCGGAGGGACAGAAATCCCGCACAGGGAGGAGACTCTGCAGACCGCCTTGGGAACGTTTATTGTCTTACGGGGATAGGAGGTTATGGAGAAAAGTGAGGTTAATGAATAGAACTTTGGGTAGTTCGGGCAAAGTCGTTGAGTTGATTTTGAACGGCTTCCAAGCTCAGGTCATTTTGGAAACAGGTTGTCAAGAAATTCTCATGAAAGTTTGAAAAGAGTGGGCTGTTTCACTTTATATTATCTGAATATTATTGATTTTGCCGTAAGCAAGTTTTGCTTTAAAAGCAAGATTTAAATTTTTGTTTCAGAGAGTAATACAGATAAAACGGTAGACTATTCAGAAATAATTATGTTCCATTGTTAGTTCTCCGGAGAGGATGGGGAGCCAGCCGTTTCCAAGAAGACGGCAGGGAAGTTTGGGGAAGTGCCAGAGGAGGTGTTCCGGAAACTGTCCAGGGTAGCCTGCACCATGGACCCGAGAGAGAGTCCTGAGGAGGACTTGGTCAGCACAGGAGACAGGCCCCGTTCTTTCTCAGGTTGTGTCCTGCTGAGTAAGAGGGAGCAGTGCAGGTGGCCTGAAGGGAATAGGGGCAGGAAGTGAGGAGAGGAAGGCTAGGAAGGCTTGGGGTACTGAAGTGCCTCAACACAGCGGGACCCTGGAGACAGAGGGGATGAGGTTTGCAGGTGCTGAGTTTCCAGGAGGGATCCCCTGAGAACCTTCTGGTCTCCCTCTTTCTTTATCTGGCCTCTTCTGGAGAACAACATCCCCACCGGGATGCCCCCTGCTGTAAGATCAGGTATACACCAACAGCAGCTTCTGGAGCTCCTAAATGCCCATTCTCTAGACCCCGGCTGAGCTGGGAAGGAAGCCAGAGCCACAATCATTGCCTCACCCCTTGGAAGGATCGCCTGATGCCTCAGAAGGCTCTGCAGAGGCCAGAGGACTAGGGAGTTAAGAAACCAAATAGTTCACAGCTTGACTCTGTCATTTATAATAATAGCTATTTGTTGAGCACATACTATGGGCAAAGCACTGTTGTAAGCTCTTCATGTTATACTGCCTCATTGTTAGCTGTGGGAGGACAAGTCACGGTATCTCTGTATATCCATGTTTTAAGTGAGTTATATATGGCTTTATCGTGGAAATATCAAAAAGCAGGGTTTCTCAAACTTTAATATGCCCATGAATCACCTGGGAATCTTATTTAAATGAAGATTCTGACTCAGGTTTCTAGCAGGACCCAAGATTTTGCCTTTCTAACCAGCTCCCAGGTCCTGCTGCTGCTGCTGGTCCAGGGACTGCACTTGAAGCAGCAAGGTCTTGGCAGTTGGTAGGCACTCAATAATAACTATTCTTTGAATGAATGATTAAATGAGATATTAGATGCAAAACACTCATAAACTGTAGAGTGCTATGCAAGTGTATGTAATCATCATTCTAAGACAATAAGGTTGGGGAAGGACAAACTCCTAGAAGAGTAACTCTGTAGAATAGCAGTGAAGAATATTGTTTCTGCGTCAGACTCCCTGAGTCCAAATCTCACCACTCAGTGGGCAGAGCTTGGGCAAGTAATTTCCCTTCCTGTACCTCAGTTTCCTCATCTGTAAAATGGAGTGAAATGCCTACCTCACTGTGCCCCTGTGGGATTTATTGAGATGATTCACATAAATCTCTTAGCACTGGGCCTGGCATAGGGTTCAGTATGTTTTAGTTTTTATTGTCTCCTGGATTGGGGGCAACCCTAAAGCCCACAGGAGACTGGGTGTCAGCATCTACCTTTCTAAGGGCCATGGAACCAATTTCCTCCATCTTCCTTTGTGTCCCTCATTTCTGCAACAGGATTAAAGTTACAGTGAACATGAAAATTGATTAAAATGCAACCACTTCAAAGACAGCGAAAAAGGAAGTGAAGGAGAAAAAGCAGTAGAATCTGGTGAGGAATCAGATTGCCAAAGAAAGAGTTTGGGGATTCTGAACCACAGAGAGGAGGTTTTATATGTCTCTAGAGGCATATGAGTTTTGTGACCTTCAGTGAGTTACTTAAAATCCATGGGTCGCACCTTCTTCATGTTTGAAACGTGACTGTGAGGACATATACATGTTTTATGTGGATATATAAAGCTACTAGCAGAGTCTGACCTGCACTAGTGCTTAATAAGCAGTAGGTACTTTTTTTAGCACAATTTCTGGGCTGACCTCAGATGGCTTGAAAATCAGGCTTTTATAGTCTGGTGGTCACAGGCGAGGAGAACGCTGGTGCCCCCCCATGGTGAGTGCATTAACTGCAAGGACAGGACTTGATGTGATGCCAGTCTCAGAGCCTCTCTTGAAGGGTAGGCGCTTAACAGTGGCTCTTCCTCACACCAGTTCCATGGCTTTGGGCGAGTTCCCTCAACAATGGTGGGACAGGAGGGCTTGGACCCGATGATCCCTGAGACCTCTCATGATCTGTAAATGAATTAGGCATGGCCTCCCAATCCAGGTATCCTTTTTCCTCCCAGGGTTCAGTTTTCTTGCAGTTCAACTCTCCCAGGCCAGCTATTGGAAACCTTGGCAATACTAACTTCCCCAAATCCTTAGCAGCTTGTGTCTTGTAACCCCATTTTACTCCCGCAGACTCCGGACCCATATCCTCCTGTAAGGAAGAAGCTACCAGGAATTCCTCAGTGCGTTGTCCTTGGGGGAACAACTGGATTTTAGGCTGCAGGGCTTCCTGGGAGCCTAGAACAGCACCAGGGCCCCTGACAACTGCCCTGGGATTGTTCGGTTGCTTGACTTCATAGCTTAAATAGGAAGGTCCTACCAAGTGCCAGGATATCCTAGATGGAGCTGACCTGGTCAGTCTGACCAACAGAGCCTTGCAGCACTGGACTAAACCAGAGCCCTGAGAGCAGGAGTTCTTAACCTGGGGTGTATGGAGACATTTCCAGAGTTCATAAAACCCCTAAAATGGTGACTAGTGTGCAAAATCTCAGGGTATGGTACCTTTCTGGGAAAGCGGACCTGGCTTTTATTGTATTTTCAGAGGGGTCTCTGACCCCCAAAGGTAAAAAAAGCCACTGCCCAAAATTGCAGAAATGACTTACTTAGAATGTTCTCTATGCGGGACCCTGCAGGAAGCCTCAGAAGTGCGTTCCAGTTCCATGACCTGCAGTCCCTCTCAAACCTCTTCAGTGCAGCTGCATAGTGAGGGAAGACACCAACGTTGTTGGATGGATTTAAGAAAACGTATAGCATTCTTTCCTCTGCAGTGTGGCAGCCACAGAAGACCTGAAAGTGTTTCCCATTTCCCCTGCTTCGTTTGCTGGCATCAGCTTTCAGAGTCTACAGAACATTCCTCAATAGCTCTTCACTGATAACAAATTCCTATCCTATGAGGGGCATTTAGAAAGGATTGGTGACAAAAATTGGTTAGGCGATGTAATTCTATACTTGGGGCCCCAAACTAAACGTGGCTAAGAAGCCATTAGCCTGGTTCTCTTGGGTTGATATGAGCAGATTCTGGATGGCATCTAAAGGGAATTCCAATGTTTTTGCAGTGGCAGCAACATTAGAATAAGTAGTCTCCAAGATGGCTACTTTGTGAGACACTACTTATGGAATGTATAGCTTCTGAAACATTTTTAAAGCTCATTACTTAGGTCACAAGAAAAAGGTATAGTTTTCCATCTGAAGAAAATCAATCTGGAGTCTCCAGAAGGAGCATTTTCAGATATTGGGACCCTGAGGTTTCACGTGTACCAACAAGAATATGTAAGATTGAGAGAGAGAGGTGAGGTGTCTGGGTGGCTCAGTCGGTTAAGCATCTGCCTTCAGCTCAGCATGATCCTGGGATCCTGGGTTCGAGCCCCACTTTGAACTCCCTGCTTAGCGGGGAGTCTGCTTCTCCCTCTCCCTCTGCCTCTCCCTCTGCTTGTGCTTTCTCTCTCTCAAATAAATAAATAAATAAATAAAATCTTTTTTTAAAAAAAGATTGAGAGGTGAGCAACTTCCTTATAATTTCAGAGCTTGACCCAGTGTCCTGGATGCTAGATCTAATTCGGTGTGTCTCTGGAGAATAATGTCTTTAGGTCTTTTCCTGACCATTCTCACATGACAAAAAGGAAAGGTAACTTGTGTTCCTTGCATGATACCAGATATGGTGAGAATAATTTCAGATTATTGGAGCTATCACGACTGCTTAGAACTCAAAGGGACCTTGAAGATCCCCTAGGTCCAAAACGTTTTACAGACAAAGATGCTGAGGTGAAGAGCCGTTTGGTGAAATGCCCCAAGTCATGCAGCTAGATGACAGCCAAACTGAACTACAATTCTGAAACCTCAGAGTCCATCTTTGGCTCTTTCTGGTAGACTTCCTCCCTCAGTGTTTGAGGAAGCAGAAGCATGGGTAGAGATGGGTACAGAATCCGATACAGGAGTATATGACAGTGGTCCCCTTCTAGAGCCCCTGGGGCCCAGAGATTCACCCAATAGGAACCCACACGCCATTTTTAATTAGTCAGAATACCCCAAGGTAAACATCCATCCAATTGCCATACCAAGATCATAAAGCAAACCAAATTGAATGTCTTTGCGTTGGGTGGGAACAGTATCGGCTCAGTGTATCAACTATCTGGCACTTGTTAGCAGAGGTTAGCAGTTATGTCTTTGTTCTTTTAAAAACAGAGGTGTCATTTACATGTGGTTTTGGTTTTGATCTATGAAAAATGAGGAAAAGCCGAAATAATTATGTAAGTAAAACAATTTCAAATCATGAGAATTCTAGCAGGGGCGGGGTGGGGGTAAAGGGGACTTCGGCCGTGGTAAGGGGGAATCCATATTAAGGAAATCTGCAAGGTGAGCTGCACCAGAAAACGGCTGTCAAGGATGTCACAGAGCCGGGGGGAAATGGGTTGACCTCCTGAAAGTGTTTCCCACCCACATCACTATAGCATTGCTGGGGGATTCTCTGAATAATACAGCAACACCTTTAGGATGTAAAGCACATTACCTCTTGCTTTGTTCAGCAGAGAGGCCTGCTCCTAGGTCTGCTGAGGATTCTGTTATTTCAGTCTTTTCTTACCACACCTGTCCCCCATCCCAACTCAAACATCTCCAATAATCAAGAACCCTGAAAATAACAAATAGCGTCAATTTTTTATTTTCTTGCGTTCTAAAGGAAAAGAACAGGGGAGGAATGATAAATTTAATTTTTTTTACATCTCTAATTAGAACCCATTTCAGTTGAGCAAATCCATCTTAAAGAAGAGGCCACACAAGAGACTACAGTCATTGTAAGGGGTCTATAGTATGGTCTACTAGTACTATTTACTAGTGCTGAGCTTCTTCTGAACTAACTCCGTGCAATCAGAGATTCACTGGTTAGAAACCTGCCACTGCTCAATGATTAGAACAGCAGGTGCCCCTATTTAAAAACCTCTTATAAACCCAGGGTGGAGGCGGGCACATCTTCATTTCTCAGGTGAAAGGGGGCCGCCACAGCTGTATGACAAAAGGCAAGGCAATCACCAGAGAGCAGAGGGGAGGGGGTGTGTGTGTGTGTGTGTGTGTGTGTGTGTGTGTGTGTGTGTGTGCGTGTGTGTGTGTGTGTGTGTGTGTGTGTGTGTGTGTGTGTCCCCGTCCGTCCTAGCACAGGCTTTTTCTGAACTCTTCTGTTCCTGGTAACCCCCAGCACTGCTGTCAATCACCTCTATAAAACTGTGAACCCACACGCTCCCAAGCTTCAGACCAAAAGCAAACTGGCCTTGGAAAAATGAGGTCTGTTTTAATGTCCTCTTCACTTGAATTAGTTAGTTCTCCCTGTTACTGAATAGTCTGTTAGCAAGCGCCATGCCACAGCACCTGGAGCGGACAGAAAAATCATCTTGGAGCCAGTGTGGTTTAGAATAGCAGCACGCCCCAGGAGGCTGCAGGACAGAGGCTCCAGTGGCTGAAATGAAAGAAGTGCCCAAGGGCAGAGAGACCTTGGGAATTCAGGTTCCAGCTCCCAGGCTAAACCTTGAAGCTCTGAGGCTGGTGCTTGGTTATGGGATGACACCTTTTGGGGTTGTTAGGGGAGATGGCATTTTGGTGTTCTAGCTTCAAGCGAGGCAAGGATGCGATCTGAAGAGTAGCCTCCAATGTCAGAAAATGATTAAAAAGCCAAAAAGACCAATCATCTCCACTCCAAAAGCAGCTTTCCAAATGGTGATTTCTCATGCAGTCAGTATTCAAGTGTGTCAAGTTCTGGAGGCTCGAAGGGTGGGAGGTTCATCCAAATAGCCCGTACCCCAGCTCCATTAGGTATAGGTTCAGTGAATATAAATGTATTTTCACTGTTGTCATCTCAAGCCAGATACAATCACAGCTACATGTGCTACAACTCATCCACTCAAGGCATTCAAAAATGCTCTCCAACTGTTACTTTAAACTGTGCTTCCAAAGGTTTTGTCCTAGCAAGAGGTGAGACCGTAGGGGAATGTGAAGGATTGCTTAACCTGGACACATCAACTGTCTGCTTCAGTCACATCAGGCCAGACATTCATTGTAATGACTCCATCCTTGCGAGTGTCCCCCTCCCCATCCTTCCACACCAGCCACTTCCCGCCCCTCGGGGAATTGCATCCTTTAGAACATCCTGATTGGGGGCGCCTGGGTGGCTTAGTCGTTGGGCATCTGCCTTCGGCTCAGGTCATGATCCCAGGGTCCTGGGATCGAGCCCCACATCGGACTCCCTGCTCCGCAGAAAGCCTGCTTCTCCCTCTCCCACTCCCCCTGCTTGTGTTCCCTCCCTTGCTGTGTCTCTATCAGGTAAATAAATAAAATCTTAAAAAAAAAAAATCGAATATCCTGATTGGTAGCAACTTGACCTCCCCTGAGGATGGATGCAATCTGGGGAAGCCACCAAGTCTGGAGAGCAGGGAGGCTGAATCAGGCTTCCATATACCATCTGGGGGGGAAGCGCCAAGTTATGACTCTTTAAGGAACGAGGTTGATCTGGTGGTGTAGGTCATTCTGTTCTGAAAGCCATTCCTAAAAGGGAAGTGGCAAATGTCTTCAGCAAAGACTTCATCATCAGAAAACATGCACTTCCCAAGGCCAGCATAAATCTTGGTAGGTTTTATTCATGTTTCTGAATCTGTTACTCGTAGTTGTTAGTCATCCGCTATGCGTCCTTCTGGGTGATATCTACATCTACATAGTAGGTTTAACTATTCCTTAGGAAATTTAAAAGCTTTTCTGATTTTACATAAAATATTGTCCTAGTTTTCTTTCCCCTTACCTGCTCAGAAACATTAGGGGTGCTGTGAAAGGTCAAAGCCACCAGTTGCCCGTGGGTTTGGCAAAAGCCAGTTGAGTGCCAAGAGGCAGCCACCACCAACAGTTCTGAATGGGGGCAGGTTTGCTTGTCTGGGTCCCGTCCCACAGGTGCCTTGGGACCCCCGCCCCCACTCCCAGCCCACCTTTACAATGAAGCAATTAAGCAATTCTGTCGCCCAAGTAGGTGAAGACAAATGGATAAAGAAGTTTTCATCTCCTCTCTAGAAGCTTCTTTGGATCAAACCATATAAAGAATTGGAAGAGGGCAAGGACAAGTCAGGGTAATCTTAAACTACATGGGCTGGGCGGACCACTGCCCTGCGCTCTGCCTCATGCCCCACCCCTGCCAGTCCCGAGGAAAGCTCTAGAAATGGCTCCCTTCATCAGGCAACAATTGTTGGGCCTTAGGAACTTTAGTTAACGGCTGGCCCAACCGTCTCTTAGGAAACCAAAGCCTAGAGGTTACCCGGCCAAGGTTGCAAACTACGCAGTAGCAGGGCTGGGATGAGTGTTCTTTTCACTAGCCACCATCACATACAGAGGAAGTCCTGGGCAGCTGCCACAAACGACGGAAAGGAGAACACAACTTTATGCTGCCTGTGAGCAGATCGGCGAAGGGGCCTCCGTGGCTCAAGACTGACTTGCAAAGGGCAGCATCGAACCTCCCAGTACTGACCTCTGAGGGAGGAGAAGGAAAAGAGGAGTACAGATAAATTTATTAGTTAAATACTGATTTTACAGCCATTTCACCTTAAGACAATGTTAACAGGTTCGTGGGTTAGGGAAGGTATACGAGGGTGGCCTTCGTGGAAGAAAGCAATGTAAATGATGATTAAAACAGAATCTTGGTTTAAAAATATTCACTGCTACAGCCAGTAGGATTTGGGGGTCGGGAGCTGGGCATCTGGGGGGAGGATGTAGGAAGGCCACAGTCATCTAGAGCTCTGCTGCTGATGAGGACCAGGAAGGAGGAGTCTCTGTGAGCCCCAGCATCACGGGCAGAAACAGCAACATGGAGAAAAGAAGGCCAATTCCAGAAGAGCACAGAGCCGGAGACTCCCTCAGGGCCCACCCTCGGTGTCTTCTCTTATCGGTCATCATCTTTGCGTCTGAGTTTGGTTTTGTTGTGTTTGTTTGCTTTGAAGTGATGTTGCGACGTCCCTAGCTTTCTGCCTCTGGGACAAGAGACTTCTGCTGGGGAAAGGATGCAGGTGCCGCTGCTCACCACCCCTTGGATGAACTCAGCCTGCTGTCTGCCTAAGAGGCCCAGCTCCGCAGAACAAGAGCAGCGTCCGCGAGATCCAAGTGCAAGCGAGCCAGAATCCACGGAAAGCCTCTGCCCACCCCGGGGACGGTGTCCACCAGACACGCTCTCCAGAAGGATCTCAAGTCTTAGATGAGTGTTTGTCAAACCTGCTTTAGCAACAGAACCTTTTTGTACATACTCGGGACCCGCCTGTATGTGATGGGGTGGATGAAGGATTGGGGGACAGTTGTGGGGGACTGCTGTGTGGCTAAACTGCCGAGCTCTTGTTCTGCAGAGGGAGAGACCTGTTCAAGCCGAAGGCAGAGCTGAATCACTCAGCAGTGGAAGGGCTTTTTATTTCCAGAGGCCTTGCAGGGTGAGGAGAAGGAGTGGAGGTTTGAGCCGTGGGCCGGGGAAACGAACTTGGGAGAGGCGAAGTTGCCAAGTTGTGATTTTGCCAAAGGCACACCCTGCAGTGGGTGAAGCGGCCCTCTCCTCCATCTCCCCATGAAGCCTTCAGTAACATCGGGGCTAAACTCAACGTTTCTGGGGTCAAGATTCGGTACTGGGGAATGCAGGGGTGGGCCAAGCCTGAAGGGGGAGTGCCGGACAGGGGCAGCAGCGGCCCGGAGGGGCTTGTCGCATCCACATGCGTGTCAAACAGGTGCCCTGGTTCAGGCTGGACCAGAGATCCCAGCGCCTTGACCCCTCCACCCACCCTCAGATCCCCAGTGCTGGGAACACCATGGGAAAACCACCATCTTAGGCGACCGTGGTGGAAGGGTAGGGGAGGACATCTCATCTCTTGTGCGGGAGGGGTGGGGTGGAAAACAAGAAACAAGTCTCTTACTCCACAGAAGGGACTTAAATGTGCTCATAGTGAAGGGTGGGTTCTTCCAGATCAGAGTTTGGGCTCTTTCCAGTAGCCCACCCTTGAAAAGGCATCCGATAAAATCCAACACCCACTTCCCCTAACCAAATTGTCAATTTCAAGTTTCTTCCCAGTTGTTCTTCTGGAGTCATTCCCCAACAGAGCGGGCTGGCTCCCAGGAGCCCAGACCCTCATCTCTGCTGTCCTCCAAGTCCCAAGTCCGTGCAGGAATATGAGGAGGGAAGGAGGTGACATTATGCAGTGATTATGTCCCCATGACTGTCAGCCAAGGCCAGGCTATTCCAAGGGTCCTGCTTGGAGCTGGCCTGCGGTGACTGGCTGACGGAAGATGCATAGCCTTGCGGGGAGAGCTTCAGGGCCGAGAGGACTGGGTGGATGGAGGGCCCATGGCCAGACATCGCACTAACTGAGAACGTCTGAAAGCAAAAAGCGCAAGATGAGCTCAATGGAATCACCCCTGGGGGGCTCAGGAACAGGGGGTCTGGGCTGGGGAGGGGAGCCCCATGACACAGATGTCCCTAAGCTAGTTCCCAGCCCTAGGAAAGGGATGAGGGGAGAGGGCCCAAGGACAAGGGCAGGAGAAGACACCAAGTAGCCCTTGTCTCCGTTCTTCCTAACCCCTGTGCTGTGGGTGGGACGTGAGGGGTCTATGTGATTCATTCACTTCTTCTGAGCACTGGGACCCAGTAGGTGTGTGGATACTGTGGCTTCTCCGAAGGCTCTGATAAGTTACATGAGACATTTTCTATGGTCTTATCACCACTGGATCTCCATGCCCAGAAGAGGCTCCTGGCTCTCCTGGTTCTATGGGACCAGCCTCTTTACCCTGACAGTAAAAGGCTCTTTAGGATACAGCCTCCCTCAAGCGCATGCGGAAAACAGATCAGAATTAACAGGAAACTGTAACCAAGTGTGGGACTACCCCAATCCCAAATAGGGGAACCCAAGAGGGAAGGGGTTGGGGAGTAGGAATACCATCATATTCGAAAGAGGGAAATGACAGGACTGCTAACCTGTCTTCTGGACACATGTTTGAAGCTGAAGCTGCAGTTGACCCTCATTAAATGGCACCCTGCCTGTGACCTCCTCACCAACCCCCTGTGCCCACCCACCCTGCCCTCTAGTGTCCACACCTTTGCTCATGCCAGGAGGGTCCTCTTCCTCCCCCTCCTCCTGTTAAAATCTATCCATCCTGGGGGGCGCCTGGGTGGCTCAGTAGGTTAAGTGTCCGCCTTCAGGTCAGGTCACGGTCCCAGGGTCCTGGGATCGAGCCCCACATCGGGCTCCCTACTTAGCAGGGAGTCTGCTTCTCCCTCGGCCCCCCCACTTGTGCTCTCTCTTGCGTGCCTTCTCTAATAAATAAAATCTTAAAAAAAAAAAATCTATCCATCCTTCAAGGTCAAGGCCAAAGCACCTCTCACTTAGGAGACAGACTTGCCTAGAAAGTCCACGCGCCACCTTCCACAGCCTGCTATAGTCGTACTGCCATCCCTCAATGCACACAGTCCGACTCGGGCTGTGGCTGTGCCCTCATGTGTCCTTCCCCACAACCTGTGTCCGAAGGCCCCCCATGGAGGAGCTACTGAACATTTGTGTGTCACCGCTGCGTGCCCCAATCATTGTAACTTGATCCGATGTGCTGAAACAGACCCTTATGCAGACAAGCCCCTAGCCTCGGGTGGGGCCCCAGGGGCACCAAGCAGCTCCTGCTGCGACCTGCTGAGGCCCGGCTACAGCCCCCGTGTTCCAGGGCTGACCCAGCCACCTGGTCCTTGGCAGTGTACCACCGTCCCCCAGGCGGTCCCATCTCCCCACCTGGGGAGTGTACCTGGGACATGGAGCTGCTGTGCCCGTAGTGGGACGACAGCCCGGGCTCTGTCTTGATGGGGCGCATCTCTTCGCTGCTGCTGGTGACGGCGTTGCTGGAGTTGCTGGAAGCGCTGCTGGTGGGAGGCAGGCTCTCACCGCCCGAGGGACCTGGAATGAGGCAGAGTCAGGCCACCCAGGCCACGGGCAGGGGCAAATGGATGGCGGTCCTTGGAGACAGCCAGGGTAGGTCTGTGCTAACGGCTTTATTTAGATTTGCTGGGGAGTGAAGCAGCGTCCTTCATCAGTGCCGGGCAGTGGTTCTCAGAATGGGACACATGAAAATACCAGAATTTCACGGGAAGTTTTTCAAGTGATGGGCTCACCACCCCTTATTCCAAATCCTTGAGACCACGTGTGTTTCAGGATTGAAAAGTGTTTGGATTTTGATACTGTATGTTAGGGTACTTCCAGTGGAGCCTGAGACAACACCCCATAATTAAATACACTCATGGTTCTGCAGCAAAACATGTGAATCTTCACACATGGGACAAATAAAGACTATAAATAGCTGGAGTCTGTTCAGATTAGGTTTCGCTGCCAGAGGCAGCTCCCTGGATTTGGAATTTCAGACTGAACCAAATGCTTGCTCTCCCTGTCACCACAACATGTAAGGAGATGAAGTTCCCCAGGGGAAGGTGCTGTACTTATAAAACAGTGTGGACACAGGCAGAAAGGCTGAGGACCATTGGTGTAAGACACAGAAAATTCTAATGAGACAGACTGCCAGCAGGGGTAAGCCGTTGTGGAATCTGGGAACGGAGAACTTTGGTCATGTTCTTGGTAGTGGAAAGGGGAAATCTGTCTGTTTTTCATGCCTTAGATTAAAAGATAAACTTTCCACCGGATCAGCTGATTTATTTCCTCTGCAATGGCAGCATGTTCCCGTGAAATCTTTAATTTGGTAGCAGTACTGAGGAGCGAGTGCTCTTGATAGGAGCATGAGTCGTCCTCATTCTTCATCTAGAAACTGAGAAGGCAAAGTGGCACATGGGACAGAATATGGACCCGGAAGTGTAAAACCTTGGGTTTTAATTCCAGGTCTACCCCCTCACCGCTGTGTGACTCTAGTTAAGTCACTAACCTCTCTGTGCCTCAGTTTGCTCAGGAGTAAAATGGGGCTAATGGGTCACATGGGGGTCTTCAAGGACCAATGAGCTACTAATGGTAAAGCAGCTTTCTAAAATGCTAAGTACTACCTGATGTTAACTATCCACTGGCTTACAAATCAAGCTGTTGTGAACAGGACTAATGAGATCCTCCTAGATCCCAGTTATCTCAAGGAGAATAGAGAGGAACTGAGCTCTTGAGTGGCCGGCTGCAGCACCGAAGATGGAGGGATGAGTAGTTCTCCTTCTGGCCCCCATCCGGTCCAGCTGGCCCCCCTGTGGCCTTTGCAACTGACAGTGATCATGCACCTTGAATTGAGCCTGCTTCAAAAGCTCCCCAAATGTTGCATGGTGATGCTACTTTTCCCTGGGTTATCATTCTGTCCTGAATAGCTGGGGCTGGACAATGCTATCATGCCTTCGTAGCCTGGGTTGGCCCACCTAACTAAGAATACCTGATTTTCACATACTCCAAGGGCCACTGAGTTGTCCTATAGTTACACACAATTCTTTTCCTCACCTGCTGGTGTCTTAGATTTATTAAGATTCTTGGGCTTCCGTTTTCTGGTTTGAATCCCCTCTTTCCGCATTGCAAGAGGCCTTGGGACCTAGAGGATTACAAGTCAATATATATGGTTTTCCACTTGTACGTGATCTGCTACAGTATTTAAACATGCACACATACTATGAGAAGGCAACATCTAAGCAATTCCTCCACAAACCTTGGGGCTGGGACTAGGTGAATCAGCCCCTGGCACGCCTGCTGAGAAAGAAATCAAGTATGTATTGAGATCCTATACTACGTGCTGTTTCTTACACTCACCCTGGAGAAATGGAGGCTTAAAGGCACCATTCCTTCCCTCCAGAGCTTCAGTTGACTGGGAAAGACAGACAAGCAGGAAACAACCAGACTCATAAGTGATCTGGGAGAACGGAGAAGAAACACTAAACTGTGTCCCCAGCTGGGGAGGAGAGGAAGTGGCATGTGACCATATCAATGAAGGCTTCACTCAGGAGGTGATGCCTAAGTTGTGGGAGGTTGTCGAGTAGACAAGGGGCAGGCATTTCAGGCAGCAGGAACAGTATTTGCAAAAGCCTTTAGTGTATCAGCAAAATCAGGATACTATGAAAGTGAAAAGGGGGTGCTATTAATAATTATGCTAAGAAAATAGGCGGAGGCTGGGACAGCCCCAGTGAATTGAGACATCAAGTCACTCTACCTAGAGCAGCTCAGCATTGCATTAAGTCTGGTTGGAGCCAACCACAGTCTTTCCGTGGGGGGGTGGGGAGCAAAAAGAGATCATGTTGGGGAGACTGCCCTGTGGCCAGGTCCTGAGATAAACAGTCCATGGACAACACTTTTATTGCACTGACTTCTCATAAACAAGCAGTGACTATCAGGTGTCATGCTCTTGAACCATTCACAGGTGCCTAGACAGGGTCTGGGGAGGAGGCTTGTTGGATCACCTTTCTAGTATTTTTAAATAGTGTGCCTTCCCCGCATCTGGTTTCTCTTAGTTCAGGCCAACCAAATCTTTTAGCTCCTGGTCTGTGCTTGTCTCCTGTATGGGACTCATAACGGCCATGCTTGAAATACTGAAAAGACAAGTAATTACCACTTCAGAGATTAAACATGGAATGGTTAAGAGAGAGGTGCAGCAGATTAGGTGAACTTGAACCTGCCTTCTAGATCAGTATTTCCACCTTTGGAGGAAAGTGTCCTTTCCTCCCGCCAGCCCCCCACCCTGCCTTGGCCCACTTGAAGCCCATCCTGACCTCAGAAGAATATAGCCCTCATGTTTTTCCCCACCAAGCTCAGTACTTCTTTAAAAAAATTTGTAGTAAAATACACGTAACATAAAATTTATCATCTTAACCCTTTCCAGTCGTGTTAAGTATATTCACATTGTTGTGCAACCATCACCACCACCCGTCTCCAGAACACTTCTCATCTTGCAAAACTGAAACTCTGTACCCGTTAACCATGAACTCCCTATTTCCCCCTCTGCCAGCCCCTGGCAGCCCCCATTCTATTTTCTGTCTCTATGAGTTTGATTAGTCTGGGTACCTCAAGTATGTAGAATCATATGAGACTTCTCCTTCTTGTATGATTGACTTCTTTCACTTAGCATAATGACTTCAAGGTTCATCTATCTGGTACTATGTGTCAAAATTTACTTCCTTTCAGGGCGCCTGAGTGGCTCAGTCGGTTAAGCGTCCACCTTCAGTTCAGGTCATGATCCCAGGGTCCTGGGATCGAGTCCCACATTGGGCTCCCTGCTCAGTGGAGAGTCTGCTTCACCCTCTGGCCCTCCCCCCGGCTCGTGCTCTATCTCTCTTGCTCTCTCTCAAAAATAAATAAATGAAACAACAACAACAAAAAGAATTTACTTCCTTCTAAAGGCTGAATGGTATTCCATTGCATGGACAGACCACATTTTGCTTACCCAACTGTGGACACTTGGGTTGCTTTCACCTTTAGCTATTGTGAAGAATGCTGCTGTGGACATGAGGACACACATTTCTGTTCAAGGCTCTGATTTCAATTCTTTTTGGATCTATGCCCAGAAGTGGGATTGCAGGGTCATATGCTAATTCTATTTTTTAATTTTTTGAGGATATAAATTTTTTTAAAGATTTTATTTGTCAGAGAGAGAGAGAGAGAGAGAGAATGCACAAGCCGGGGGAGCAACAAGCAGAGGGAGAAGAAGGCTTCCCACTGGGCAGGGAGCCCAGTGTGGGACTCGATCCCAGGACCCTGGGATCATGACCTGAGCTGGAGGCAGACGCTTAACTGAGTGAGCCACCCAGGCGTCCCGAGGACACAATCTTTTTAAAACCTGCATAATATTCCTTTCTCCATTTCTTCTACCATTCCCCTATTGAGGAACAAGAGTTTCTTTAACCATTTCCCTACTGAAGGTTTTTTTTCTCCATTTTCTCTATCATGGTGATTCAACAAACATCCTTGATACACTTTTCTGCAGAAAGAAGTATGTTTTCTTATGAATGTTCTTAACTATATTTTTGGCTTTTTTTTTCTCACTAACAAGAAAACATGGTACATTTCTCACGATGAGCACCCGAATAATGTACAAAACTGTTGGATCACTGGGGCACCTGGGTGGCACAGTTGATTAAGTGTCTGACTCTTGGCTTTGGCTCAAGTCATGATCTTAGGGTTGTGAGATCGAGCCCTCTATCGGGCTCCATGCTCAGCACCAAGTCTGCTTAAGACTCTCTCTCCCTTTCCCTCTGCCCCCTCCTCTCCCTCAAAAAAAAAAAAAAGAAAAAGAATTGTTGAATCACTGTACTGTACACCTGAAACTAAAATAACACTGTATGTTAGCTACACTGGAATTAAAATTAAAGAACTAATAAAAAGATAAAGAAAGAAGACATGAAAAGATTCATGAAGACTAAGGTAGTACTGCCCCTCCCACCCCTCTCCCATCAATTCTGTCCCCACGAGGCAAGTGGAGGACCAGCCTGTTATGTTTCTTACATTTGGAAAACGTTCTCAAACGTGTATGCACACATACAGATCTATACACGTATGTACATGTGTATTCATCCATCCATCTATATCTGTGCGTGTATTTAACACACCCTCACCCCCATAGTATGGGGTCATACTATGTATATTACTTGGCAATGTGCTTTTTTGTGACTCCAGGGCAAGATACATGGCTCTAACTTAGTATTTTTTAAATTTCTGCACAATATTCCACATCATAGTACTGCCATAATTTACTCAACCATTCCTTTACGGGGCTTTGTGATGGTTTCTAGTTTTTGCCACTACAAATACTGCAGCAATAAATAGCTCAAACATCATTACGTACTGATTCTTTTATTGTTTTACAGGCTAGTTTCCCAAAAGCAGAGCTGCTAAATCAAAAGATATGTGTGTTTATCCTTAATAAGTACGGCCAGGGGCACCTGGGTGGCTCACTCAGTTGAGTGTCTGCCTTCGGCTCAGGTCATGATATCTCAGAGTCCTGGGATCGAGCCCCGCATCAGGGAGCCTGCTTCTCCCTCTCTCTCTGCCTGCTACTCCCCTAGCTTGTGCTCTCTCTCTATCTGTCAAATAAATAAATAAAATCTTAAAAAAAAAAAAAAAGTAGTGTCAGGTTAATTTCTTAGTGAATACTTGCAGTACGTCACATGCAAATCAATAACAGATGAGAGTATTCCCCCAAATCCACACCAGCATTTGACCACGCCAGCACCTGAGCTGGGACTCCCAGCCTCTAGGAATGTGGAAATGAATGTCTGTTGCTTACAAGCCACCCGGGGCCGTGGGGTTTTGTTACGGCAGCCTCTAAGATCCCTTCCAAATCCAAGTGTCTTTGCTAAGGAGGAAACAATGACATTGAGTTTGCAAGCGAGTCAGAGCGGAAGGACAGAATGCTGGGCAGTGGGTGGGGCGGGGGGGGGGGGACACGCGGGCGGGGGGGGGGGGGGGGGGGGGCAGGGCGGCTACTTACACCATGGAGCTTCATGTAGAGGCCACAGGCATTGCACACCGGCTCACCCTCGGCGTTGCGGCGCCACAGCGTGGTCGTAGTGGTCTGGCAGTTGGCACAGGACAGGCCCACTCGGCGGGAGGCAGACTGCAACAGAGAAGACAGACCCTTGGAGTCCAAGCCGAAGGCAGGCGCTGCTGCTTCTCCCTCACGGGGAGCGCCAAGGGCCTGGCCAGCCCTGAATGGGTGGCAGGGTCAGCGGTAAGAGCCCTGAAGGAGGACCTCGGAGCAGCCGAGGCGCTGATTCTCCCCTCACCTAAGCCACTGGGGGGGGGAGGGGCGGAGGGGGGATGGGAACAAAGACTTCGGTGGCAGGGGGAGTAGAGTGGACTCTAGTCCTCACTGGAATCAGTGGCATATCAATCATTCACCAGACAGAGGGCCCTGGGAGCAGAAGAGCTTTCCTCAAAAGGAGAATAAATGGGGGCTTCGGGTGGGGGAAGGGCGCTGGGGGAAGAATTATCGTATTCAAGTGTCTTCAAAGGATGGATGGGCCTTAGGACCCCAAGAAAGGTAAACGCCAGGGTTTAACCGCTCCGTTCCTCCCTCCCTAATATACATGACAGCTAATTTGTGTTGGTCAAAATCAAATCATACTAGAAAAGACCACGGAGCAGAGAGCCAAAAACCCCTTTTTGTACTCTTTTCCGGCCTTAGGGCCCAACACACACTGCTTAATCTCCCCGCTGCGCTTCAGGTTTCATTAACCAATCAGCTGAAAACAGGGTTACGGAGGAGTCCCCCGTCCTCCTGGGGTTGAGGTGAAAACAGGAGCTGTCCAAGGCAAGGCTGGACTGGGAACTGGGAAGCCTGGACTCTGATTCTAGACGGGACGCTCGGTATCCCTGTGACCGTGGGCGAGGTTAGCTTTGTTGAGCCTCACTTTTCACTTCTGCATAATGAAGGGGTTAAACTAGATGGTCTGGAACATCCTTGCAGCTGGAGCTAACTCTAAAGATATGAGGTATTACTGTGTTGCCACCCAGCCACCCAACCCCTCCACAAACACCATCTTTTTTAAAGATGGCTTGAGGGGCGCTTGGGTGGCTCAGTCAGTTAAGCGTCTGCTTATGGCTCGGGTCATGATCCCGGGGTCCCAGGCAGCAGGGAGTCTGCTTCTCCCTCTCCCTCTGCTGCTCTCCCCGCTTGTGCGCTCTCTCTCTCTCATTCTCTGTCAGTAAATTAAATCTTTTTTTAAAAAATGAAAAAAAAAATGACCTGAAGTCCAAAATTCAGAACCTGGGAATTCAGAATCAAAGCGTGAGCCCCGAAGCCAGGTGAGAAGGGTGGACTTGAGCAGTCGGCGCACGTGCTTACCAGCCGGCGCTGGGGCTTGATGAGGGGCCGGTTGATGCCGTTCATCTTGTGGTAGAGGCCACAGGCATTGCAAAGGTAGTGCCCCGTCCCGTCGCGCCTCCAGAGCGGGGTGGACATGGCCCCACAGTTGACACACTCTCTGCCTTCCGAGAAGTCATCAAACATATCTACTGGGTGGAAAGTAAGACAGAGGATTAATTCTTTCGGTTTGTGCCCAGAAACCTTACCTTGGAGAATCCAGAGGCCAAGGAAATAATGCCCTTTCCTTGAAAGGAGTAAAAGATGGATCAGCTCGGGTTGCCTCCCTTTTCCTGACTCGGCTCGGCTCACAGGACTGTCGGGAAGTGGACATTCCTACTCCTGGGCATCGCACACAGAGCACAAGACCCAGGTCACAAGGAAAGAAAGACTTGGGCAGCGACCACCAGCAGCCTGCGTTTTAGTCCCTCTCTCTCTTTCAGAGCCGGTGGCCCTGAGGTTCTCACCCAGCACTGAATTCTGCCCAGACCTTCCTCCTCTCTCTTTTTCCCTTTAAAACTGAGATTCTTTTTCCCTTTCAATACAAATACAAAATCAAACAAACAAAAAAAAAGATTTACTCCAGGGAAATTAGAAAATAAAATGTGTGAAGAAAATACAAATCATATGTAATCCTGTGACTTCAAGATCACCAGTTATTAACATTTTGTTCTATTATATCCTTTGCAATATTTTATATATTGACGTATACTTTGCCTAGTCGAGGTCAAGCTATATAATTTTGAACCTATTTTTTTCACATAATACCAAGGCATTTTTCCCACATTAGAAATTCTTCATAAACTCATTTTAGCATAGTATGGTATCCCGTCTTATAAACGTGCCATCCTCATTATCATTAAACTTTTACTTAATCCCTACCTCGTTTCTGATTCCCGTTTTGTAAATACTGCTCATTTTGTGCACAAATCTTAGCATTTCTGCCTATTCCTTAGGATACTCCCCTAGGAGTAGAATTACTGAACCAAAGGGACTACATTTTTGGAAAGTTTTTGAAATTTTCAAACTGCCCTGCAAAAAGGGCTGTGATCCATTTTCGTTCATTTTTGCCATTTCAATGTATCTGTATGATATACTGTACCACAGTTTGACACTTTTTCCTGCTTATTGGTACATAAAATACAGGTCCATATTGTAAGCAACTGTGACTTAGAGTCACTCACACTTCCGTGGGCACATTGCCACCACTCAGTCTCCTGCACTCGCTCACCACCCCCAGCCCCGCTCCCCACCGCCTCTGTTGCCCAAGTCTATAGGATTTTACAATTGACAAATTTCACTCATGCCCATTTCAGTTGCCCTGCTGATATAGGCTGGGCCAAGTTTCTTATTCTCATGATCTGTATAAAACCTGGCTGAGAATTCCAGAAGTCTCCCTGACTCCATGTACCCTGCTTCCTAGCCTGAAAAATATTTTATATCCTATCCAGATTTTCTGTCCCTAAATGCAGCTACCCTGGTGTTCAGATTGTTCTCGTCCTACCACCAGAGGCAAGAGTGGATTCTTCTCTTGTAACGGGGTGGGGGATATCTGGAGAGGAGGGGTTTTAAGAGCTCTCCCTCTACCGGGACTTAGCACTGGGTTTTAAGGTCACACATTCTGCTAGTTCTGTGGCCCAGCTACTTGCCCTAAGGGAACGTGAGCTGAAGAAGAGGATGGTGGGGGGCCCTCCCCTCAACTCTGGGCATACAAACAGTCATTTGCACCTGCAAACAAGTAGCTGTGTGTCCACACCGAGTCAACAATGTGCAGGTGTGAGGGGCTATTTGCTCAGGCCAGGGAGCTGAGCACACACCGGTCACAAGAGAGGCTATTTTTGCACCTGGGTCACACCGAGAACCCTCCCGCAAGGTCACCTGCTTTCAGAGCCGCACACAAAAGGACAACTCCCGTCCCAGTTTGCTTCCCCACGCCTGGGTGAGGCAAGGAAGGCGCCCACACGCCACCTCCACCTCCAGACCCGGAAGTGCTGCCCTTGTCCTGAGCCGGTCAACCCCGTTCCCCCAGCCAAGACCTTCCCCTGAGGCCAGGGAGGTTCACAGAAGGACTCTGGAGCAAGGAGAGGCGCTTGCAATGTCGGCCTTTGGTTGGGGGTTTGCAGCGAACACTAGATGGCACTAGAGCTTCAAAATTGAACCAATACAGGGCATTCTAGCCTAAACCATGCTTGGGGATGGAGGACTGTTTCAGATCATGTTCCCAGTCCAAACCTAATGCGACCCTCTTATTCTTTTTTTTTTAATGGAAAGATTTAAACACGCTCAAAAGTGGACAGAATGAACTCATTTTTTTTAAAGATTTTATTTATTTATTTGACAGAGAGAGACTGAGAGAGGGAACACAAGCAGGGGGAGCGGGAGAGGGAGAAGCAGGCTTCCCCGCGGAGCAGGGAGCCCGATGTGGGACTCGATCCCAGTACCCTGGGATCACGACCCGAGCCGAAGGCAGACGCTTAACGACTGAGCCACCCGGGCGCCCCATGAACTCTTATTGAATCATCATCCAGCTTCCAACAATTTGTGGCCAGTCTTGTCCCATGTATCTCTCCACCCTCTTTCCTCCATCCTGTATAACTGAAGGAAATCCCAGACATCCTACCATTCCATTCATAAATATTCCAGTACGTAGCTCTCACAGATAAAGAATCACACTCTCCTCCCTTTAAAGATAGTAAACTGGGGGTGGCTGGGTGGCTCAGTCCGTTATGCATCTGCCTTTCGGTCCTGGGACCGAGTCCCACATCGGGCTCCCTGCTCAGTGGGGAGTCTGCTTCTCCCTCTGCCCCTCCTCTCCGCTTGTGCTCTCTCTCTCTCAATCTCAAATAAATAAATCCTTTTTAAAAAAAAAACCTAAAAAATAAATAAATAAAGCAAACCGGCCTCTTTCCCATGTTCTGGTTTACCTAAAGAAGCCTCCAGAGACAAAAATCTCATAATCTGGTCCTCTCTTTTGGAGGGGAGATCTCATCTCTTCACACTTCTGATTTTATATGAAGGGGCAGAATCTCACCGAAGGAGCCATCCGGGCAATTACAGTTTTCTCTGCTACTTACTGGCCTTAACTGAAACCCCAACACAAAGATTTGCCTTAGAAACTCCTTCACACTTGCCTCACAGAAGAGGTTACACTCAAGGCAATTATTTTACTGGCCAGGGAAAGGCACTGGAGGTTGGCAAATATGTATTTGTCACCGACAAACATTTACTGAGCATCTGCTATTTAAGCACTCTGATAGATGTCCCAGAAGCTAAGAGGGAAACATTCTCAGAAGGCCGATAACTGAGGTGGGCAAATTGGGCCAAAATACCAATAATGAGTTGACAATATTGCTCAACTCATTTTCAGAACATACCTTAACCAAGATGGGATTTGGATGGCAGATACTTCTTGTCTAGCGTGGGAAGTGCAGAAGTCAGACCCAGATTGAAGGGTCAGGTGTTAATAACAGTAGCCAAAGAAGAAACGGGATAGGAGGTCAAGGCCATGCTTCCTCAAGGCACCCTGTCAGATGCACCAAGTCTCTCTACAATCCACTAACCCTCCAAATCTACAGAAGTTTCCATGTTTTCTACCAGAAAGTCTTGCCATCCAACCTACTCAAAAACATGCTACAAAAGTTTAAATGCTTATTACAAAGCACTGTAACAATCGAGGAAAATGTTCACCCCAAACGTTAAATGAAAAGGGCAACACATGAACTGCCAGACCACCCTGAGGGCAGGTAAGACACTGAGAAGGAAGAAGTTTTTGTTAGGCTAGTTATTGTAATGTGGACTTTTCTTTCTTAAAAATGCCATTCTGGAATGCCATAGTTGCCTGTTTTTTAAAAAATCTGATGAAAAATTAAAACAAAAACAGAAAGACTTTTGATCACCTTAAGCAGCTCCCAGTCCACTTACACACACACACACACACACACACACACACACACACCACACACCCACCCCTACCTTGGGCTGAAGAAAGGAGAGAACGAAGTTCAAACCCTGCTGCTTAGCAGCCACCCTGCCAGAAGTGGGAGCTGATAGGCAGTGAGCCCCATACCAGCACAAACAACTGGTGGGGTGAACCCTGGTAACTTATGCCTTCATTAGAAAGGCGCTGAGTGGAACTTCCCAAAGGGCAAGTGGGCAGTGGCCTGAAGCCAGTTTCTCAGCCTGATTTCTAAGGGCACAGCTGTGACCTTCACTTATGAAAGCCCCACCTCTCCAGTGCTGGGCATCACGGCCATTGGTCCAACCACTTAGAAAGCAGTGGCAATCCAACTCTCTCGGAAATGGGTCAGCATTACACCGCATTGGAGGAAAGACTTGTTATAATAGTTGTAAAGTACTTTGCAAATAAGAGGAAAAACTCACAACAATGGCTGTAAAGTGCTTTGTAAACACCAAATGAGATAAGAGTGATGGATTATTGTTAGGTTTGGAGGGGTGGGGAGGGAGTGGGAAGACCAGGGACAAAGCTTGGTGCTGAGTTTTCGCAGGGGGAGGGAATAGATAAAAGAGCTAGGAGATTTGGGAATCTGACCTTTTCACCAAGCACAGGGGCGAGGGGGGGCCGTGCTCAGAATTGTGAATTGTGTCTCTCGGACTTGGCCAACTTGGAGACTTGCAGGCTGAGAAGGAACTGGCAGCCCGGCTGATAGTCTCTACCTGTGAGGCGCCACAAGGCTACTGCTCATGGGAAATTGTAGTTACTGATGTTTAGCAATCAGACACACAAAATGAATTAGGCCCTAACCCCATCCCCAGGAATGGGGATCAAATGCCTCACCTCCATCCATGAACCACTTAGGAAAACACTGTTCTTAAAGAGGGAAGCAAACTCAGCCTGATTTCTGAGGCATCCGATTTCATAGGGATGTTCCTAGGAATTATGGCAGATTACTTCTACCCAAGTGCCTGAAAAGAAAAATGTGGGCCAGGAGGTTGAAGGATCCCACCCCTGACTTCCCCACAGAGAAGTGACGCAATCAAAGGCAAAGACTCCGACCTCTCCCCTGACCTGCTCCATCCATCTTGGGGAACCCACCCACAGGCAGGGCTAACAAGCAAGTCAGGGCGGGTGACGGAGGAGGAGTTCGGCTGCCTCCATTTTGACCTCAAACTCTTTAGTTGGGTTCTTTTTTCC